AAACTTAACGCGAAATCCGCGTCTATCGAACTCACCGCATATAATATCAAGAGCGGCGCGTTTTGCAAACGGAACAATGTCAAACCATTTGTTCACTTCTTTTTCAAGGCAGGAAATTAGAACATTAGTCTCTTCTTTTATAGTTTTTAAATATGTCTCCTGGAGGCCAGTGTGAAAGGTTGGCGTCAGCAGCTTCCTGCGAACGTGCCATTTCTCGCCTGAAAGAAAGACCACAATTTTTATTGTGGCTGTAAATTTATTTATTGTATCCGCGCCAGTATCGAAAATGAAAAATTATCACAGTGTCCCTAGAAGCATCGCGAGATAAACATAGATTTTTATTGCTCCCGATTTTCTATGTTTTTCTTTTATAAAAAGATAATAGAAATTATCGGATGTCAAAATATCTAATCGTACAAATGTTCAGCAAATGCAAGTCAATATTATACATATACTCTTCATTGAAGATATACAAGTCGAAAAAGAAAAAGTGTCTCACTAGTGCCCTGATTTCTCTTACTCTAAGAAAAATCCGCGTAATTAACAATTATGGCTCTTTTCTCTAAATAATCTAAAATTTTATCATTCGTTGTCTGAAAAATTCGCAAGAATTAAAGAAATAACGTTGGTTAAAGGTAGTTCAAACTATATTTTGTATTGATATCCAAAATTAAAAATGAGAAACTTCGGTGTTTACGCTTCTTTTATATTTTATTGTTCCAATTTTTGCTTCCTAAAAGCTTCATTTACTTCTGTTACTCTCCTTTTACATTCGACTTACGCTTCAATTTTATATTTTCGCCAGAGATGCGACTTTAATTTGTAAAATGTGAATCACTTACCAGAACTGGTTACCAGTCCCGTACCCAACCAAGGCTTCAAGTATTGGTACTCTAGACTTTTATCAATGTGTACGCTACTGCTAAGTAAAGGTTGCACTGATTCTATTCGATAAAGAAAGATGAAAGGTCGCATGCCGACCCAGATCAAATAAATGTCGCCAAACTTGTTAGCCCATTTTATCAACCGCTGAAAGAATACTGAAACAGACAAATCCAACAAATTATAGACGAATACGTAAAATTGTCTTAATTTAGAGATACGGTATTGTCTCAGCGCTAAGCAAGCGCAGCGTCATAGCGCGAGACACTGCCGTGCTCCTTTATGTGAGCCGACGAGTTGCGACAGATTGAATTAATCTCAATAACTGAATTGATCAAGTTCTATATACATATTATACATTCGAAGCTGTTTTGAATAATTGCTAAAAGCGGAAATCAGAAAGTTCAGCCAAAAATTCAAATAGTAAGATTTTTTATACTAGATTTTCTCTATTTATATTCAATAAATACTGTTATATAATTAACAATTGTACAAAATGGTTATATATATATATGTATATACACACACGAAGTTTCCTACATAATTAATTTTATATTTGCATCTAGATACTTACATTTTTAAATACTTTAACAAAATCGTTCTTTCTGTACAGTCGCTTACAATGGGGAATTTTATCTAATAACTTAATCTAAGATATTTGTATTTATCCATAGAATTGTAAATGAAATATTATTCCTTTTTTTCTACTGTATTCATCACTAAAGTTGAGCTCGGAAATTGCAGTATTTAGTCATTATAATTTCAATAATTATTATCCTTTCCGAGTTTTATTTTTATCAATGCGCATTAATGTTCTCGAAGATCAAAATAAAAAATTGCGGACAAAATTCTATTAATATTTTTATTTACTTTTTTGTCCTTGTCTATTCGCAGTCAGTTAATCTAGGATTTCTATAATAAGAGTTAAGACAAATCGTTTTCATATACAATTAAATTAACGTATGTATATAGCCAATACACATTGATGTATATTGTATATAACAGTGGTGTATTAGTTAATAATGTAATTATATATCATTTGTCGTTATACAACCAATCGAATGTTATTTCTCACTTTCTTAACTCTTATTATGAGAGATTCGTCGACTTGTGCGATTCAATTTTTGAAGGAGTCAAACTGACGAGATTAATCTGTTCTAATACTGCCCTAGAAATTTCACTTGTAATGTTCGGACAGCTTTGTGTTAGCATCTTAACAGAGTCTTTATATAATTCGCCGATGCACTTTAAAGATTATGAAGATGACTGTTCATGCTCAATAATATTCTTATACAACTTTAGAATTTATTCATTGAGATTTTCTCTACACCGATTATATGTTGCGTAAATATTACAAAAATAATTAATAATTGTTATTATTCTAAATTAATAATATATAATATATGTATGTATATATATTTATATATATGTATATATGGGTGTATAATATAATAAATAATAATATTTTAAACTAGCTTGCGAAATTTCTGAATAAAATTAGTATCACAGTAAGGAATAAAAAAATAGGAAAAATATCAAGAAGATTAAAATAATGAAAAAAGACTTTATTTTTTTGCATCGAAAAATTGACTTTTTTAAATACGTAATATATTTTCGAGAGGACACGCTTGTGGAGAGAACTTTTCGTGGATAAATTTCAATATTCTTCTTTATCGGGGTAAGCATTTAATACTCATTGAATGCACATGTCGCTTGTTACTGCATTTATGACGATTTCCACGAGGATCATCTTCAATCATTCTCGCGGTCACCGACCTGCGATGTCGTGCAGAAATAGACCTCTTTTACGACTTCATGTCTGACCAATCATCGCACCAATATCGTAACTCTAGATTTGCTCTTATTGATATAAACCGCGACTTTTGCGAGAGTAAGAAGTATTAAGAACGAAAATGAAAAACCGAAAAAGGAAACTAATATGATTATAACGCTAGAATATAATGCGATATGAGAAGACAAGTGAAAAACTGGATAAGAGAAAAATAAAGAGAGGAAGAAATGTTGAACAATTCTGATAAAAAATGAACAACAAAATAAATCTAAAACAGGATATTTGATAAATACAGCGTATGTGATTGCAGAAAAAAAATAAAATGTTGAGCAACTCGAAATAGTATACTAGCTTCAGCTTATCGCTATCTGTAGGATAGTACCGTATAATAAAAAAACAATCTTTTGAGTGTGATAGTTACATCTCATTAAATACCAAAAAGACTGCATTATAAGATTTTTTTCGGTTGATAAACTGAAGACCGTTCTATTAGTTTTCGAGGAAAATTGTAGAAAGATGCGGTCGTCGTTGATGTCATGCATTCTCAAAATGTCTTGAATCTTACATTATATGAAAGCTGAAATAAATTTGAATTTGATAAGACAATATCATTCCAGAGCTCGTGTTTTTTTTTTATAAATATCCGTTACTAATAATTTGATAAACACAAAACTTTGGTCGAACTTTTTTATTACTCCGTAGTAAATAAAGAACTATTTTATAAATTAAATCTCTTTTTTTGTAGTTAAAATCTCTTTTTATAAATAAAACTAATAAAGAAACAGATAGAAGCAGGCAAAGGATATGGTCAACGCGATGCTACAAATGCTTTAAAGTAATTTTTGATTGATCAGTTTGTAAAATCCTTTTTTCTAATTGGTCAACCAAACGCTTTAAAGCATTTGTAGTGAGACTTTGACCGCAACCAGAGAGAGGAAAAAAGAGAACAGAAAAAAAGAGGACAGATAGAGAATCAAGAACAGGACGGTGGAGGAAGAGAGAAATCGCACTGCACGTGCAACGAGTTGACGGCCGACAGGCTGACCGGACGTTGACCGGTTGAAAATGGACAGTGTGTACCGCACGTGGACGACGAGTGCAAAAAAGCAAAAGAGACAGAAGTAGAGAAAGGAAGAAGGGGATAGAGAAAAAGACATATAAAGAGAGAAAGGCGTTGCTCTGGGAAAGAGCGGAAGATGCTATCGAAGACCTTGGCATGTGAGACGCTAGGTGTCCTTCAGGACGGTGGGAGACTCCTCGATGACCTATTTTAGCCCTCCCATCTCTCTCCCCCGTCCGTTACAGCTCAGCATTCCCTTCCCATCGTCATCGTAAAGATACGTCGCGAAATTGAACAAAGAATAAGTATATAATATAATATGCGAGACACACTGTACATATTCCACGTGTGCTAAACAAATAATCACATTGCATGTAAGATTTTTTGAGCGAAAAATGAATGTCGGTTTATAGTTTAAACTTTAAATGAATTTCGTTTACTAATGCATTTAAGTTTCTTGTCTTTTTCTTTAAAGTTGCTCCATCTAGTTATTATGTAATTATGTTCCACGTGCGTTTTCATAATAACAACTGCACACCCGTTGAAATTTAAATTAAGATCAACTAGTTTAACACTCGAAGTAATTTTTTTTTCGTCGTTATTTGGCGAAATGCTTGGTTATTTTTTTCAGTTGTTGCTTAAGGATTTTAGTTTCAATTTGTTGCTTCCTGGAAGCGATGAGCAAAGAAATAAAATCAGGAAAAAAAGAACATCGAATGAAATCTCGTAAATCGATACTTATGTTAGAGCAAATAAGTTAATTGATATACGTGCTATATAATCTTGTTCTGCGTGATGTTAAAAAATAATGACTTATATTCGATGATGGTTTTTTTAACAGGATACATCTTCGCGTGAAGTGTTGCTACCGCATGTTAATCGCGCTTGTATCGCCTTTTGTGCCAATAATGCTCGTAATGTCCCTTTGATGGTTGCAATTTATTTATCATAACGGCACATGAGTTGAGAGAGAGAGAGAGAGAGAGAGAGAGAGAGAAGCGTCCAGATTCTATTCTTCTCTCGCAGACGAGGACGTCTGGCCGGAGTCTGGTCCGGAATAACTTATCCCCGACAGGCCAGTCGGCCGAATAGTCGGAATCTCGCGCCGGGCGTTTCATCTCTTCCGTTTCTTTTCTTTTTAAGCAAAACCCTACCGCCGATGCTTTCTCTTTTTATCCTCTCTCTTTTTCTCCCAAAACGAGAAGGGTACGTAACACCATACGAAAATCGTATGCAATTACGCGCCGTTATTCAGACTGCTCGAGCGACCTCGACCTGCTTTTTCTTCTTCTCCTTTTTCTTCTTCGCCTTCATTTCTTTATGCCAGACGGTTATCATTGGTGGACCGAGATAGCTCACCAACCACATTTCTCTCCTTCCTTCGCTTTTCATCATGCGCATATCTCTTTACGTGAAAGTTTTATTTCGTCTTATATTGCAGTAATCAATTTTATTGTTTTATAGCTGTTTTTATCAATGTAGTTTTATTAATGTAGTTTAATTTTAATCTCGGTTCACACAACTAACTTCATTTTTTTTCCAAGTCTAAGAATTTTTGAAGAAGATAAAGAGTAAGTTGAACAGAGATTAAAGTTAATTTATATTGATAGAAACGGACATTCGTGGAACAAATATACACTGCCGGAAATTGAAATCCCAACACCATGAAGGAGTTATGCTAGATGAATGAAAGTTACATAGAATGTTTGTTTACATGAGTTATTATATTGATATCTATTACAAGTGGAATGCCATTCCACAAGATGACATCCGACACCTCTACGATCGGATGCATGCACGTTTAGAGGCCTGCATTCAACACAGAAGTGACTACAGTGGATATTAAGTCGGAATACTTAATGTTTATATGGCTCTACACTCGTATCCTGCGAATTGTGACCTTGTAATAGATATCAATAAAATAACTCATGTGAACAAACATTCTGTGTAACTTTCATTCATCTAGCACAACTCCTTCATGGTGTTGTGATTTCAATTTCCGGCAGTGTATATTAAATATTTAAATTATATATTAAAAAATCGTTAAAAGGTTTTTAACCTTTTAACGTCTGAAAAACATATTTATATCTAATTGCATGATAGAAATATTGTCGCTTTACATACGATTAAAATGTTACGTAATTATTCAAATTTTTTTCACGCCAAGTATACATTATAGTTGTATCATATTTCGTGTGTGCACTGAAAAAAATTTCTGGTTGAAAATGGATGAATCAGAAATTTCTGGTTAAATTTATTAGAATTCTAGTTGAGATAACCGGAATTCTGGTTGATACTATATTTCT